CCCCTCAAACTATTCTACCCAAGAAATAAGAAATTTTAAAGATTAATTGTCCAGTGTATTATTAAATTCTTCCCAAATTCTATTAATTATAAATGAATCTAATTTATATAAACCAAAGGAAATATTCATATTATTGTCAAAACTGCTTTTTATGAAACAAGATTCAATTATATTCCTGTCGACCATGGACTTGCTTGATACTACTTTCTCAACTTTTTGAAAATCAATTGGATGGTTAAAATCTCTTACATGAATAAATAGAGCATTGGAATCTTGTCCAGTTCTAATGCTATATTTATGTTGTTTTAATCTTAGTTCGAGATTTTACCAGTTTGACCGTAATAAACTTTATCGCAAATTTTACAAGGAATCTTATAGACACATCCATCAGCATTTTGGGGGAATTCTTTATCAAAAGTTTTTTTACTGTATCAAGATTTTTGAATACAACTTTAATATTAAAAGTCTTAAGAAGAGAAGGCATATCAACCAAGTTTTCATGGTAAGGGAGAACCAACATATTTTTAGTTGAATAAGGCTGGTTGTCCCTTTTTGGATTGTAAAAAGTATTTCTAGCAACTTTAAAAATTTATCAATTACATTTCTTGGTATTTTAAATCATTACCTATTTCATAAATTTTGGATATTTCCTCATCTATGAACTCAGGACTACAAATTCGTAAAGCTCTCAGAAACATTGATGAGAAAAAAGACAGTTTGACTCTATCTTGATGCGAGGAATAATAGTGGACATAGGAACATTATTAGTAGGTTTTCTGTAAATTTTAAATTTGAATTCATTATTACCCTTAATAATTAAAACATCTAGAAAAGGCAATGAGTTATTTTCTTCAAACTCAACAGTAATGTTTAATGAATGGGCTAAGCTATTTAATTTTCCAAGGAAATGGTGTATATCTACATTTTTGGGCATAAGACACAAAATATCATCAACATATCTGAACCATTTAGCTCTATTAGGGAGGATTGTGTTAAGTGACCTTGTTTCAAAAAATTCCATGTATAGGTTACTAAGAACAGGTGAAAAAGGATTTCCCATTGCCATACCAAACTTCTGAGTGTAAAATTTATCATTAAATACAAATTTTGCATCAACAATGCAAAGTTTAATAAGTTTAATGATAGTAGGAACTGGCAATGGTAAATCATAGTTAACGAGTTCTTCAGATAAGAAACTTAATAAATCATCAACAGGAACTTTCGTAAACAAGGAAGTAACATCAGAACTAACCATGTTAAAATCATTTAAGTCAGTCAAGGAGCTTAATTTATCAACCAAGTCTATGTTGTTTTTAACATTAAAGTTAGAAATTTTGCCAACAATAGGGCTCAAAATATCAACAAGCCATTTGGATAATTTATATGAAACTGACCCTATGGAGCTAATAATTGGTCTGACTGGATTCCCTGGTTTGTGGGTTTTTATTAGCCTTATTCAACTAAAAATATGTTGGTTCTCCCTTACCATGAAAACTTGGTTGATATGCCTTCTCTTCTTAAGACTTTTAATATTAAAGTTGTATTCAAAAATCTTGATACAGTAAAAAAACTTTTGATAAAGAATTCCCCCCAAAATGCTGATGGATGTGTCTATAAGATTCCTTGTAAAATTTGCGATAAAGTTTATTACGGTCAAACTGGTAAAAATCTCGAACTAAGATTAAAACAACATAAATATAGCATTAGAACTGGACAAGATTCCAATGCTCTATTTATTCATGTAAGAGATTTTAACCATCCAATTGATTTTCAAAAAGTTGAGAAAGTAGTATCAAGCAAGTCCATGGTCGACAGGAATATAATTGAATCTTGTTTCATAAAAAGCAGTTTTGACAATAATATGAATATTTCCTTTGGTTTATATAAATTAGATCCATTTATAATTAATAGAATTTGGGAAGAATTTAATAATACACTGGACAAATAATCTTTAAAATTTCTTATTTCTTGGGTAGAATAGTTTGAGGGGTGAGTTGTGCCAAGGACCTATCCAAGTTGGGTCGGCGCGCGTCAGGTGTTTAAACCGTTGTGGGATCTGATAGTGAGGTGCCGACCAGACCCCTTATATAGCTTCCTTGGATGCTTTACTTTCATAGTTCCTTGATAATGTGAGTAGTCACGAAAGCGCTTGGAATTTCTCTATTCTTTCAGAGTGGTTGTTTTGCTTATTCTGAAATCACCTGTTTACTGTGATCTTATTGCATATATATATATATATATATATATATATATATATATATATATATATATATATATATATATATATATATATATATATTGATATATATATATATATATTTTATATATATATATTTTAAATATATATATATATATATAAAATATATATATATATATATATTATGCTGGGGATCATTTTTTTAAAACTCACAGACATGAATATATTAGCACAATGTATCAAAGATTATGAATCTTCTCCAGCTCCTCTGATGCTAATCGTGGGCCCAGTATGCACCATCCATTTCCTCTTTGGATGGCCACGCAGAGGCGCTGGAACATGAAAATGGACGCTCTCGGTTCCCTAGTGGTGTCAATGAGTCTGGAACCCAGTTCCTTTTGGAAATTTGTGGCACTCTTTCCCCCATGATCCCAGGCTCTCCAATCCCACAGGGACAAAATTAAACTGATGGCTTATGTTTCTGTACTTGCTGATCTTATACTCCTCCCAGTGATATGAAGCGCCTCCTTGTTGTCGAACGCTGTGACGGATGTAGGCATCAGTCACAGCTGACATGCAGGTATTGTTCCATGCTAAAAGTCTGCTGTTCTTCCAAGGATAAATGGTGATCCCATAATCCCGTTTTGTGGGATTGTGAGTACTGTTTGTTGCTAGGGATCGGGGCTCTCTCGGACTGGGCATCCACATGAAACAAGGCTCCTCTTTATGATGTCGTTGACTTCACTGTGTGTTGAGTGCCAGCACTTGGTTCTGGAGCACTTTAGGCCATGTAGAACATATTGATCGTCTTCTGCATCACAGCAAATACACCTATATTCCATTTGAAATGGGGCAGCGAGGATCTGTGGGTCGAGGCGTGCTCCCATTGCCAAAATGGGAACTGTATATATGAAGTCTCTAGAGTGATGTGCGCTCACAGCTCACACTTCAAGTGCAAAATGTGGGACCCATAGCCTAGAAGTGGATAAAAAGGCTTCGAGGAAGAATATTTGCATTTCTTCGTGAAGCCATTTGAATATTCCACTTCCCTACTACCCCATCTTTTCATTTTTTACCAATAGTTATATTTTGTTACATAATATTTTACACAAGATTTTAATATCCATTGCTGATACAAAGACTGCATATACAGTACACGAGGCTACAGGGATGCAGAAATCTCATCCAGGTCCTCAGAGCTGGGACGCGTTCCCGGTTGTGTTTGTGTGCTTGTGTGTGTGTGTGTGTGTGTGTGTGTGTGTGTGTGTGTGTGTGTGTGTGTGTGTGTGTGTGTGTGTGTGTGTGTGTTTGTGTGTGTGTGTTTGTGTGTGTGTGTTTGTGTGTGTGTTTGTGTGTGAGTGTGTGTATTCACCTAATTGTGGTTGTAGGGGTCGAGTCATAGCTCCCGGGTCCGCCTCTTCACTGGTCGATACTAGGTCCACACTCTTTCCTTGCTCCATGAGCTTTATCGTACCTCTTCTTAAAGCAATGTATGAATCTTGCCTCCATTACCTCACTCCAGATTGTTCCACTTCCTGACAACTCTGTGACTGAATAAATACTTCCTAACATCCCTGTGCCTCATCAGAGTCTTCAACTTCCAATTGTGATCCCTTGTTGCTGTGTCCCAATTCAGAAGCATCCTGTCCCTGTCCATCTTGTCGATTCCGCTCAGTATTTTATATGTCGTTATCATGTCCCCCCTATCTCTCCTGTCCTCCAGTGTCATCAGGTAGATTTCCCTTAATCTCTCCTCGTAGGATATACCCCTTGGCTCCGGGTCTAGTCTTGCTCGAAACCTTTGTACTTTCTTTTTTTGACGTCCTTGACCAGGTGTGGGTTCCAAACGAGTCTGCATGTTCCAGTATGGGCCTGACATACACTGTGTACAGAGTCTTGAACGAGTCGTTACTAAGACTTCGAAACACTGTTCTTAGGTTTGCCAGGCGGCCATATGCTGCAGCAGTTATTTGGTTGATGTGCGCCTCTAGAGATGTGCTCATTATTATGCTCATCCCAAGAGCCTTTTTCTTGAGCGATGTCTGCAGTGTTTTGTGAATAAAAAATGAAATAATGACACTTTTCGGATAATTAGTGAATGCCTTCTTCGAATGCCTTTAGTTTCTTGAAACAGAGAGGTTGAAAGTGCAATTTTTGAATGGCTTCAAACTAAAAGCGCTGGATTATTTTAGAATATTGTTCTGTTTGTGATAACTAGAGCATTCTTGGCCTAATTAGCTTTAAACTTTCGAAGATAGTGTTTCTCTCTAAGGGAAAAGTTCGAAATGGTTTCGAGCTGTATAGATGCCGAGTTACCATTTGTTTTTAAGAAATTGAGATATTAGTTTGCCTGGGATAACTTGTGAATGTTTCTTCTGATTGGCAATATATTTTCATTGCTGATATTAAACTTTAATTACATTCTTCACTATTCCTTTTGCGTATGTTGAGGATGAGGAGGAACTTTATGACATATGTACATACTTATTATTTTCAATGTATAGAGTCTGATTTTAGAGAAGTTCCAACAAATTTTATGAAAACAAAGTTTCCAATAACGTGATCTTTGCTAAATAGGTTAAGTCGGCAGGTTCTAACTATGAAACACACGTCATACTCCTCACACTATGCCACCTATTACCTCTCACCTCTGAAGAAAACTCAAGCTGAAGAACAAGCTTTTATTCGGACAAGGTTTCACTCTGTGTAGAGCGAAACTTTGTCCTAATAAAAGCTTTTAGTAGCATGTATATATTTTGTTCACGTTTGTCTTCAGTACGCCATTTGAATCTTTCCCTCTCACCTGTTGTACATGAGGACGTCAGGTGTCCACAGGTATTTCGGCGGAATCCTGAGGTCCGCTACGCCCCCGTAGTCGGATTCGTTCCACATCAGGTTTTGGTCCGTCCATTCCTGCAACACAACAGCCAATTAGAGAGGCTCTTCCACGCACCCATATCTCACACTTTTCATTTATAACAAAAATACAAGACAGCTATATTTTTATTTATTTGAAACACATATTTATGCAAGAGAATTAGTTAATATGTTCATTCCTAAGCAACTTTTTGCGTTAATTATATTAAGAAGAACCAGTTTGCTTGTTAATTTCATGCTTGTTAATTTTATTAGCAAGTGGTAATTAGCTTATTCAGTTCAATACAACTATTCTGTCTCTTTATTATATCCAGGATATCTAACTGTGTTTGATTTATATGGAAGAGCCATTTAGTGTGTGTCACCACCCTGGTGAGTATGTTAGTTTATTCCCTGTAGAAGGACAGCATTACTGTCAATTCTGAGCGGGACAATCAAACCATCTGTTTATTGCACTCTAAAGAATCAGTAAGTCTGTTTATTTGATGTAGAACAAGTTTACTCTTCTAGGTAAAACACACACATACACACACATACACACACACACACACACACACACACACACACACACACACAAACATACTACACTTTAAAATTATCATGTCAACTGTTACGTTGAAGTATTTCTGCAGTCAAATAGGTCATTAGGGAAGTATTTTAACTGTAAGCTAACATTAACAATATTGCAATCCTTAAGCAAAGGCATGTACTTTTAGAAAATTGCATATACAATTGAGTATAATGTATATATAATTTTGGGTTCACCTCTGGTGTAAATTGTGGGAGCCATAGCCTCGGAGAAGTGGATAAAAAGGCTTCAAGGAAGAATATTTGGATTTCTTCCTGAAGCCGTTTGAATATTCCACTTCCCCTACCACCCCATCTTTTCATTACTACTTATCAATAGGTATATTTTATTACATAATATGGTACAGAAGATTTAAAAGAAACATTGCTGATGCAAAGATGGCGTATACAGTACATGAGATGTGAGAGATACATGTTTAGTACATATTGTTACGTGTTTGTCACTGATTATAATGCAAAAATCTCATCCAGTTCTTCAGGACTGGGGCGCGTGCCCAAAATGCATTAGGCGTTACCCTTCTGAACAGCCGCAGTAAGTCGCTGGAACAGAAAACTAGCTGCCCTGGGATCCCTCTAGTTACCCTGATGAGTCTTTTGCCTAGCTACTAAATTAAGGAACTTGGATGCACTCTTTCCCCATGAGCCAAGGGTCTCTGAGCCTGTGGGAACAAGCATATAATGATGGACAAGTTCTCCATATTTTCTAGACTTTTGGGACTCCCTGAAGCTGGCGGCTGCCCCTTCTTCCTCCCAAGTGTATTGGAGATAGGTATCAGCCAAGGCAGATGCACATGTGTAGTCCTACACCTCCTGCTTACCGTGTGTCCTGGCTTAAACGGTGATACCATCTGGAGGCTACTGGCTGCCATCAGATCTGCATAGTTGGGGTGGCTCAGTTACTACTGGGCATCCGGCTGTTGTGAGGCTCCTTTTAATAATGTTATTAACCTCCTCATGTCTTGCAATCTTTCCCTCGAATTTACGGCACACAAGACCATGGTACCCGAGTCGATCTGCTGCTTCACTGCCACAAATACACCTGTGTTCGGCGAGAATAGGGGTGGCAAGTCGAAGGGCAACACCAATGCGGATGGTCTGTTGGTTGAGGCGTGTGCCAAGGCGGGGTTTGGGAACAGCCACCAGAAAGTCCCCTGCATGAGGAGCTCTCACTGCCAGGAGGCGGGCTCTATCCTCTCCTGATACACACTGAAGCAGTATTGAGGCTATATTCTCCACTACTGAGCCATCCCAGTGCGACTGTTTGTAGTTGTTGGGGGGAGCAGGTGTGGTTTCAGAGCCCGTTAGATTATCCCAGATCATGGCTCCGTCAATGAATTTTTGGTTCTGGACTCCAATCTTGTCCCTAAGATGTTCAGGGAGAATCGCTGCTACAAGCCCTCTGGATGCAACGCATGAGGACAGAAAAGCAGGTAGCGCAATCAGTGACGACTTACGGACATCAATGCCTCCTAGTCTGACTTTAAGTGTAGCTTGGTTCCACTGCCTGTCTTCTAGAACAAGGTTAAGTACTTTCGTAAAAATCTGATTCAGGATACTGTCATATTCGTGCAGTACAGGATTATCATATGAAGGTGCACATCTTAGGAAATATGTCAACCTGGGCAGACTCAAGCACTTTGTGAGAAGGTACAAGGCATCGTGGGTGTCAAGATTGCCTGTTCGGTGTTCAGTTCTCCTCAACTCTTGAAATTTCTTCCTAAGAATTGTGTCAATGGCATCGCTTCCCAGCGGTGCTCTAAGCAAGACGCTGTTTGTTGGGGCAATGACTGATGCTCCTGGTAGTTTGGATCTCACTGTTTATCACTTGTTGACTAACTGAGATGATTTCACATTTGGATGGATTCAGGATGAGACCCATTTCCTGTCCCCGTGTCATCACCTGTGTAAGATCATCTAGGAGGGACTCCTTTGCACCTGCTATCATCAACCAGGAACCAGATGTTTAGCTCACTAGTCAATCTGACTGTGATTTCCCTAACCGCTATACAGAAGAGAAATGGTATGAGAGGATCCCCTTGCTGGACGCCCTCTGATGATGTGATTTCATGCTCTCCAAACAGGAGCATTGATTCCTTGCTATATCCAGCTGAAACGCAAGGGAAGAGACCAAGGAAATGTTCTTGTACCGCTGCTAATACCACGTCTCTTTTCAGGAGATTAAATGCATTCTTGAAATCTAATTTTACCACTGCATTGTCCTCAGGAAGGGTGTTGCTATACACCCTTGTTGCATGAACCGCTGCTTCACTTCCTTGGGAGACCAAAAAGCCAAGCTGGTTTTGGTGAAGAATCATGGCCGCCTCTGCACGAATTTTTCAGACAGCAGCTTTGGAAACGAGGCGGCGAGAAGTGTTGCCCACTGCAATTGGCCTAATTTATCCATCCTTCTTTTTAACGGCACTAAGTGATACGCTAAAAAAGGAAGATTTAATTTCATCAAGAATGAAACCAGCCAAGGAATTGTTGATGAGCCTTGTGATCTCTGAAAGCAGTATCTCTCTAATCTTCCTGATAACTGGATTAACCATTTCCTTTAAATGCTATGGCCTTATTCCAGTGTAATCCCCAGCAGAGCCGGACTGGAACGACATTATTGCTTTGTAATTGTCCGAGTCATTCACAATCAATGGTTCCACAGTGGGGACAGAGGTGTTGGAACTGTTGGTGCCCCTGGTTTCCCCAGCAGGGTGCTTTCCTCTAGGTCAGTGGTTCCCAAACTGGGGGTAAATTACCCCCTGGGGGTAATTTAACCATTTTTGGGGGGTAATGGAGGGGTGACAGAAAAAAAGTTATGAATTCTGAAAATCAAGAAAACAATGCGGTACCCGGTATGAGGATTATTGTTAACTTTGTCTTAGTATATAAAGTTGTAAAGTAAACCTATTATAAGTAAGTAATAAAGTTAAACCAAATAAGAATAAACATCAAAAACTAATATACAGTATTAGAAAAGAAGAAATATATAGCTAAGTGTGTGGAAACCCAAAAGTATTTTGACAAGTATGCTTCAGGACAAAAGTCACTCAGTAGCCCAGATCGACCTGTCCAGTACGCGTCACTCACTTCCTGAGGCTGCCTCTATTTCACACTGTCAGTTTATCTGTGAGCATCAGCCGAGGTAGACATAAGCTGGTATGAATGTGTACTGCCCTGTGCAGTATATAGTTAGTATTTACCCACTGTTACTGTGAATTTGTAGCTATTATTAATTTTATATATAATGTATGTGTGGTTCTTACGTTTTCAATGGTTTTGCTAGGATTAGCAGAGTATGCGAGGCTGTATACGTTCACGTTTAGCCATATATATCAATAATAACAACATTTTGTGAAAGGGGTAACGTGCTTTATGTGGCATGTTAAATTGGGTAACAAGCTGAAAAAGTTTGGGAACCACTGCTCTAGGTGCTTCAGCAGTGTCAGCATCTCTGGGGGCAAATGTATCTTCACTGGTAGTAATTCTGATTGCCCCCCACTGTGTTGCCCTCTTCAATTTTCTTGTTCACCTGGACTCTGATTTTATCACTGTCAGTGGAGTTAGTGGGGGTTCTGCCTCTCCTGCTTTTGTGTTGAAGGAGAAGGCGAATGATCATTGAGGCTAGCCTCTTTTCCCTTCTTTCCAGCACAGCTAAGCAGACAATGCCAAAAAGAAGCAAGTTGTGCCATGCCTTGATGTTTGGTGAAACATTTAGGATTGTGGAACCATCGTTTATTTTTTTTAAGAGGCCTGTAAGTTTCCTAGCTGCATATGTATGGGCTGCTTTGGGAATATGTGTGAGTGTCCTGGTACCTGCGGCTTTAATTGCTTTCAAGATATTTGATGAGATGAGATCTGTTGTAGTGGGTTCAGGTGCCTGAAGTGGCTCTGGATCATCACTTGCAACAGGAGAACATCCTGAACCAGGACAACTACCGTGTTTGCACAGGAAAGCATTAGAGTAGAGACAACGAAGCTGTTAACCCGACCGACACTTGCCTCTCCTAGTATTGCCAGCCGTGCATTTTCCATTGCTGCTAGCTTCTTCCTGACTTGCATCCATCTGGCTAGCTAGACTGTAGGAGTGGAGTGCGACACGCTGGGTTGGTATAGTGCATGGAAGGTAGTGACCTTAACCATATGGTAATTTGACACATATGTAACAATTGGGTGTCTAATTATCAACTTGCCGCTTCTCTGAACCATTTATCTAACTTGACTATATATATATATATATATATATATATATATATATATATATATATATATATATATATATATATATATATATATATATATATATATATATATATGCAAAACAACCACGCTTGGTTTGCGATATTTGCTTTATACATAATAATACTGTATCAACGAAACGAATGGTATTGATCAATAACAACACTGCACTAGCCAAGGATACGAACCCATGCTATTTTGGCCCGCCTCATTGT